GTGTGCTGTGGTAGATTATTAAACTGACTGAATGAGGAGAAACAGCCCGATGATGAAGCTAGTTTCTGTCCGCTGGGAAACACCATCAGTATTCTGGATAATTGAATGTCAAAAATGTGCTTTTAGCATGTGGGAAGCCAGTGCCGCCTCGCCGCCCGCTTGTTCTTTTCATCACTCACCCACTAGTGTTTCTTCATCTTCATCCAGACAACACCATGTGCATTAGGCCGACACGCTGTGCTGGAATTTTATTCATACAGCACATTTCATCCACAGTCATAAATTTTCAGCCAATTAAACATTTAAGAAACATAAACATGCAGAAAAATAAAAGTTTGCTTTAAAATGGATTAAAGAAACATGGAAGCTTGTTTTCACCATGGCATTTAGAAAAGGTCATTGGTATACAACACAAAATGTATAAAAATGTACAAACTTAGAATATTGAAAAAAAGGAAGAATAGTGAGATGTAAACTTAGAATATTGAAAATTTTTTTAGAATAGTGACATTTAAATTTAGAATATTGAAAAAAGGAAGAATAGTGAGATGTAAACTTAGAATATAAAAAACCCGTCAGAATAGTGAGATGTAAACTTAGAATATTAGTCACAATTCTTAGAAAAAAGTCATAATAGTGAGAAAAAAATCAGAATTGCAAGAATTCTGAGGGGAAAACGTCAGAATAGTGAGATTTAAACTTAGAATATAAAAAACCCCATCAGAATAGTGAGATGTAAACTTAGAATATTGAAAAAAAGAAAGAATTGCGATATTTAAACTTAGAAATTTTAAACAAATTCAGACTTGGGAGATATAAACGTAGAATTCTGAAAAAAAAAATTCAGAAAAGTAAGATGTAAACTTAGAATATTAGTCATAATTCTTAGAAAAAAGTCATAATAGTGAGAAAAAATCTGAATTGCAAGATATAAAAGAATTCTGAGAGAAAAAGTCATAAAAGTGAGATATAAATTTAGAATTAAGAGAGAGAGAAAAAAACAGAATTCTGAGGAAAAAAAGTCAGAATTGCAAGATATAAACCCCTGAGAAAAGAAGTCAGAATAGTGAGATGTAGGCTAAACTTTGTCAGAACTGTGAGATGTAAACTCGAGTTTATAACTTGCAAGTGCGAGATCAAAAGTGGCAATTATCTTTTCAAAATGTTGTCCCGTGGCGGAAACAAGCTTCCATAAAGAAATAACAAGAAATCAATCAAAAAGAAATATGCTTATGTTCTGGTACAGTGTGATTTGCTGTTAGTCTGCAGTTCTGTCCAGCGCCAGCAACAGCAAATTGAATGGCATTGGTTTAGATTTGCACGCTCAGTGAAAGTGCGTCTGAGAGGCGAGGAATTCCCCGTCCGCTGGCCATAAATCTGGAAAATCATATTAAACTTCACACGCTTTAGAGCGACAGCAGAGAGACGTGCTCACACACACACACACACAGAGCTAAACCCGCTGAATGAGTCTCAGCACTTTTACATCCAGCTAATATTTCCTGCATGTTGACGATGATGTGGTGTTTGTGATTATTCCTAGGCTTATTTCATACAGTGTTCAGAAAAATGTGTGCATGTGCAGCATGATATTTAATATTTATCTGCAAATCTCACGAAACCTGTCGAGGATGTTTCATTTCAGCCTGAAATAAATGAAGTCTATTTGTTTTCCATTTATGTTGCATTTAAATCAAATTATTTAGGCCTAAATGTAAGGCTTATGTATTTGAATTGGATAAAAATTTTCATCAATTTATGCTGATTCAAGGAAATTGAAATAAACAATATGTTTATGTGCAATGAACCAAATGCATTGAAATTTTTTATGCAATTACAAAGACTTGCTTTGCATTACAGTAATGAGCATTTTCGCAATGAGGCTTTTTGTCATAAAAATAATGTTTTATTGATTATTTTTAGTTAAAATTACTTAAATTAAAGTTAAAAGCAATGATTTAAATAATATTCTAAAAATGTCAAATCTAATATGCATTTTCATTATTAAACTAAAAAAGTGTCCAAAAAACTGATTTTCATGCAAATTATGAAGAGAAATGTGATGTAGACTTGACAGCTTTTGTGAGATTCACTGTTAAATGGGCAAAAATATTATTTGATGCATTGTAAATTAACAGTGAAAGATTCTGAGAAGATTTTTGAATATGAAATTTACTTGATTTTAATATTTAGAATATATTAAATCAACTGCTAAATGCCCATATAAAATGCATTCACAATGGCATTGAAATACTTTTTTTAATTGAAATTGTAGTGAACTCATATCCTCTGATGCATTTACTCCTGTAGAGTTCAGCTTTTAACAATGTTCATGTTTTATGAATGGCTGTAAATGACATTTAAATCGCCTCACGTCACGAGTTTGAGATCGCCGACACGAAAGCATAAATGCCAATCGCCAAAGGCCATTCATAAATCAGGAGCAGAGCTGGACTGACAGCGCCTGGTGTGTGTCGATGCTGGTCTGAAGTGTGTGTTGTGTTCTCCAGGTGGTGGTGAACGCTCTGATCGGGGCGATCCCGTCCATCATGAACGTCCTCCTGGTGTGTCTGATCTTCTGGCTCATCTTCAGCATCATGGGGGTCAACCTGTTCGCCGGGAAGTTCGGGCGCTGCGTCAACAGAACCGGCTTCATCTACAACGCCTCCGACATCAACAACAAGTCCGAGTGCCTGGAGATGAACAACACACAGTTCTACTGGACCAAAGTCAAAGTCAACTTCGACAACGTGGGCGCAGGGTACCTCGCTCTCCTGCAAGTGGTGAGCTTCACACTCGTCAACATACAGGCGACGTCGGACAGCTTTAGGAAATCATTGCAATTGTTATTTGTAACTTTAAAGATGGACAAGTACGGGTGACGTGAAAAATCTATTCAAATATTTAGGAGCAATAAAAAAATTTTATGACAAAAAAGCAAAAATGCGGAGTTGCCAACACTATCTCACGCCCAATTCGTACGAATTCGACGAATGATTTAAAAGTGTCTAATTCGTACTAATTTGTACGGTTTGTCTAAACCCACGTGATGGTTAGGTTTAGGGGCGGGGTAAGGGGTAGGTCATTCGTACGAATTCATACGAATTGGCCAATTCGTAAAATATGTACGATTTATCAAAATCGAGTGAGGTCGTATGAATTGTTACGAATTAGCCACTTTTTAATCATTCGTCGAATTCGTACGACTTGGTCGTGAGATCGGGTTGGAGTTGCTCATTACTGTAATGCAAAACAAGTAAATATGAATATAACAAGATTTACATATTTTAATTGCATATAAAATTTCCATGCATTTGAAATACACAGTTTTAACATAAACTAATAAACATAATTTGTGTTTTGGGGGTGGCACGGAAAAGTTGACTTTTTAGAGTTTATGATAAACTTTCCCTCTATGATGGTTAAATGATGCAGTTTTTTTTACTGTAAATTTCTGCGATCCGTCGTTGGGTTTCTTCCGTTCACTTCCCAGCTCAGTGTGTCCGAGAGCGCGGATCAATGGAGATTATATTTAGACTTTATCCCGAACTTTGTCTCAGCGAGAGCTTGTGCACTTCATTCTTCAGTTGAACTTAGTTGATGCAGTCGCCTAGCAACAGGTCACCTGACCCCTGCCGTCCCCTGCACTGGACTGCACCCAGACCTGTCACTAATGACCAGTAACAACAGAACAGAGCGACCGGAGGATTCACATGTGTGCCTAATTAATTAAGCGTCTCTCTCCTGCTTTTATTAGGAATCTCATTCTTGATCAGTACAAAAGATCTAGAGATAACTAGAGCAGAAGTACAAGGAAGTATTAGGAATCTTTTGAACTCTCGAACTGGATGTGCATGTGATACATTGGACAAGTATCGCCGACATAAACAATACATACAAAATATTTATAGTTAAAATTGAAAAATTAAATATATTGTGATATAATTTAGTTTGATTCGTATTTTAATGCATATAAAACATACAGTTTTCATGTTTTTCTTAATAATTAGAATATAAATTCGATTATACTTAAAAAATATGTTAAGTATGCAAGTATGAGGGACATGAATCATGTATAAAACATGTTAAGTAACTGAAAATAAAATAAATTACTTTTTTATATCATATTATTTCAATGGATATAAAATAAACAATTTTCATGGCAGCTTACTAATTGAAACATATATTAGATTGTACTGTTTTATTATTTAAATTAATTAAATTATTAATTACATTTTGCAAAGCATGTTGTTTAATATTTATCTGCCAATCTCACAAAACCTGTCGAGGATGTTTCATTTCAGCCCAAATTTTATTTTAGAAAATTACATAAAGAAATAATTATAATAACATAATTATTTTTAACTTTAAGTTGGAAAAGTATTGGTGACATGAAAATTTGTATTTTCACCCACAGTTTTTTTATTTTTATTCCACCCACAGTTTTTCAGCTTAATAATTATATATATATATATATATATATATATATACATATAAATAAATATAAATTAATAAAACTATTGGTGACATGAAAAAGTATACACATATTTATATAAAAATGTCACCCACGCCTTTTCAAGTTAAAGTTAAAAATAATCATTTAAATTAATATTAAAAATAAAGCATTTATGTGAATGTATCTTAATTTAAGTCGACATGAAACAGAAGTTGCGCTCATATTTTATTCTCTATTGTTTCGTATATATCCGAGTGAATCAGATGTGGGCGGGGCTTGATTGTGTCTGTGAGGCATTGATTGGACGGTTGTGGTTTGCTATTGGTGGATCTCCTGTGAGTGACAGGTCATAGCCCCGCCCACGATTAGCAGAAACATGTTTTAACGACCTCTCCTCTTCTTCTCAAGGCCACCTTCAAGGGCTGGATGGAGATCATGTATGCCGCAGTCGACTCGCGATCCGTAAGCACTTCATAAATCCCACATCAAAACGCATATGAAAGTTATGTTTGCGTATGTGAGTGTGTATAATGTGATGAAACAGGTGGAAGAGCAGCCCATCAAAGAGAAGAGCCTGTACATGTACCTGTACTTCGTCATCTTCATCATCTTCGGCTCCTTCTTCACGCTCAATCTCTTCATCGGTGTCATCATTGACAATTTCAACCAACAGAAGCGAAAGATGAGTATTAAAGTCATAAGGGTGTGCATTTGATTATGAGTGTGATGTCGACGGGGATGATAACAGCGGTGTGTGTGTGTGTACTTAGGTGGACAGGACATCTTCATGACAGAAGAACAGAAGAAATATTATAATGCCATGAAGAAACTGGGATCCAAGAAACCGCAGAAACCGATCCCACGACCTCCTGTGAGTAACTTACAGACGAGCTCATCATAATCATCATAACCATAATCATAATCTGCTGGCGGGACCAGAAATATATCAGTTTTAGACCTGAGATTATGACTTTACATTATGTTATATTATATGTGTTATAAAGACCATAACAAAAATATACATTTGTCATGACACTCACGCTTTTTCAAAATATTTTAATGATTTAATCATTTTATTATATATATATATCTGTGTGTGTGTGTGTGTGTTGATCTCCTCAGAACCCAGTGCAGGGATTCTTCTTCGACCTGGTGTCCAAACAGGCCTTCGACATCATCATCATGTTGCTCATCATCCTCAACATGGTGACGATGATGGTGGAGACGGACGAGCAGTCTCCCGGCGTCGAGTACATCCTCTACTACATCAACCTGGCCTTCATCGTGGTCTTCACCGCCGAGTGCATCCTGAAGATCATCGCTCTGCGCTGCTACTTCTTCACCGTCAGCTGGAACATCTTTGACTTTGTGGTCGTCATCCTCTCCATTGTGGGTAAGGACACAATACTTCAATAAATGAAATTTCTCCACCAGCGATTTAAAAAAATCTAGTTATTAAACATATTTACACTTTTTGTGTAAATTGTAAATTAAGTTGGGTATTTGTTGGATGAAAATGTATTTTAAAAAAAAGTTGTTATTAAAAAGTATATTTTTAAAAATGTAAAATTTTTATATTATTCAATATTATGCATCTTCTAATTATGACCATGAAATATAATATTTTCATGCCACCTACACTTTTTCCAGCTTAATAATTAAAATATATGGTAGAATGTTAATTATTTAAAATATTATTTAATCATTTGTACATTCTTACTAATCTAAATTATGGTTAAAAATAATATAGTTATTAAATTATAGTTATTATAGTTCAAAATCCAATATTTAATACTATGCATCTTTAAATAATTTTATTGAAAATAGTTTAAAAAAAACTATTAATGTAATCAATCAAATTAAATGTAAACTATGAGTGACATGAAAAATGTACACGCATATTTATAAAAAAATAAACATATTTCAGAAATATATTACTTTATTCATAATTGTTTCATGTCACCCACGTTCAACGTAATGTTAAATACTTTTATCAGATACAACTTGTGATTTTAAAAATGTATTAGTAAATGTAGAAATAAACTAAAATCAATAAATGCAAATCAGCAATAAGTTTTATTATAGTTTTCTTAAGATTTTAATTAATTTATACAAGCGTGTTTTAAATATATGTATTATACATATATATATATATATATATATATATATATATTCTTAAATCTGTTATGTGCTTTTTCATAAATTTTTCTTTTATTTATTTTTCTCATTTTTTTTATATTGCTATTTTGGTTTAACTTATTTTTAATCCATTTTCAGTTTTAGTTTCTATTATTTTAGAGCTTTTTTCACTAATTTCAGATTATTTCCAAGGCCGTTTCTAATTTTTCTAACTAATACGAACATTTGATTTAATTTCAGCTTTGGTGGAAACGGTTAATAGTTTTAAATCTCTAGAGTTAGTAGACGTCGTCAGCGGACGAGCTCTAATCCGTGTGTCTTCCTCACGGCAGGGATCGTTCTGGCGGACATCATCGAGAAGTACTTCGTCTCGCCGACGCTGTTCCGCGTGATCCGCTTGGCTCGGATCGGTCGGATCCTCCGGCTCATCCGCGGGGCGAAGGGAATCCGCACGCTACTCTTCGCCTTGATGATGTCTCTCCCCGCGCTCTTCAACATCGGCCTCCTCCTCTTCCTCGTCATGTTCATCTACGCCATCTTCGGCATGGCTAACTTCGCCTACGTCAAGAAGCAAGGCGGCATCGACGACATGTTCAACTTCGAGACGTTCGGGAACAGCATGATCTGCCTTTTCCAGATCACGACCTCCGCCGGCTGGGATAACCTCCTCAACCCCATCCTCAACAACTCTCCCGAGGAGTGCGACCCGGACGTGCCTCACACCGGGACTAACGCTCGGGGAAACTGCGGGAACCCTTCCGTGGGGATCACTTTCTTCGTGACCTACATCATAATCTCGTTTCTGATCGTGGTGAACATGTACATCGCGATCATCCTGGAGAACTTCAGCGTGGCGACGGAGGAGAGCACCGAGCCGCTGAGCGAGGACGACTTCGAGATGTTTTACGAGGTCTGGGAGAAGTTCGACCCGGAAGCGACGCAGTTCATCGAGTACTCGAAACTGTCGGACTTCGCGGACACGCTTTCCGAGCCGCTGCGAATCGCCAAACCCAACAAAATCAAGCTGATCAACATGGACTTGCCGATGGTGAGCGGAGACAAGATCCACTGCCTCGACATCCTCTTCGCCTTCACCAAACGCGTTCTGGGCGAGTCGGGAGAAATGGACGCTCTTAAGCAGCAAATGGAGGAGAAGTTCATGATGGCGAACCCGTCGAAGATCTCGTACGAGCCGATCACGACGACTCTACGGCGGAAGCAAGAGGACGTATCGGCTACCATGATCCAGCGCTCGTATCGCCGGCACTTACTGCGACGGCAGATGAAACAAGCCTCGTTACTTTACCGTCAGATCAACATGGCGGACGCCGACAAAGACGACGACAGTTTGCCGGAGAACGAAGGCCTTATAGTCGCCATGATAATGGAGAACTACGCCACCGAAGCCGAAGTCACGGAGACGCTGTCGGCGACGTCTTCTCCGCCGTCGTACGATAGCGTGACGCGAGTGACTAGCGAGCTTTTTCACGCTCTAATCCCGGAGGCCACGAACACGGACCTCAGCGAACCCTTTCCAAACACGGACCGAGGAGATCGCGAGACGTTTCTGTGACGCCTTCTTTCCCTTTGTTTACCGAATGTACCATAGCTCACGCGGAAGGTTTTTGTAGACTGTTGAAAATACGGAGGGGAAAGTTGCTCTTTGACCATGCACACCTTCACAGTTTGAATGCATGAATGAGATCCGTAGTTGCGATTAATTATCACATATAGCACATTTTAATCAGAGGTCTTACTTAAAACGGCGTGATTCCCAAGATTTGAGTCTCCATTTAAACGTTATCCGTCCGTCACACGTTCACACTTCACGCCATCTTGGAAAGCATGACGATTACCTCTTTGTGTGTCGCTAGCGATGAAAAGGCAGCGGTAATAATCGACGCGGCTGTTTGCACTCTCCGTGTTTTTGCGTTCGGCGACTAGACAAAGACAATCAGACCCGCGCCGGAAAGGGTCCCTCGCTTAGCGAACGATTGCACACGCTTCTTTTTCGAAACCACACGTTTGTTTCTATTGTGAAGTATTTATTTTGCATGAGATAAACTGCATGGTATGGAGGGGTTAAAAGAACACTTTCTTTTTAAGGCTGAAAATAATTGTTTTGCACACGTTCAGCAATAATTTGCTACATTTAGGTAGAACGATAACGATATTTATTGGAATTAAAAAGGTGTCAAAGTTTCTACTGTAAGGGCCTCCAGCTGTAACTGGCTTATATTACTAGTGACGATTATAGCACATGTGTTTTTCTATCTCGAGCTGACGATAGGAGATCAGTCCGCTTGGACGCGGGTTGGCAGGTTTGGTGAAGGGCTGTTTTATGTAGCAATAGATCCCAAGTGTGCCTGCTAGAACTAAATCCTGTGTTTATCATTCATCTTTGCTTTTTGTGAATCATCACACCGTTCCTCTGGCGCGACTTTACGGAAATCAAGCACTCGTTTGATGAGAGATTCTCTCAAAGACACCTGCGCTAAATGTTCACTAACTTGGAATTTATCATGCAAATCAATTCATCTCAATCAATTGTGATGCAAGCAAACCTTTCCAGATATCACTACTGTTCAAAAGTTGTTTTATATTAATATTCTGCAAGGATGCGTTCGATTCCTCAAACGTGACGAAGGATTGAAGATTAATGTTTCGACAACACGTATAATAATCATAAATGAGTGATTTCTGTCGGATCATGTGAGTAATGATGCTTTGATCACAGGAATAAATTACACTTTACTGTATATTCACATAGAAAACAGCTTATTTAAATTATAATTGATATATTTTTGATCAAATGGTGACTTTTGAACAGTAGTGAATATGATGCCTCAAACTGATTGATTACGTTCACGCGTTGAAAGCGAAGCTCGTGTTTCAGTGTAAAGCGCTGTTGTGTGTCGTCTGACCCGATGAACTGTAAATAAATATCAGATGTCACTGTGTACATTTGCACAGATGAAATGGCTTTCATTTAAAGCGCACACTACATTTACAGCCCTAAAAACACACACAAAGGCTCAGTGGCTTGAATAAACTCAATTGTAAATGCCTTTTTTATGCATTTCTCAGTTTGGGTTTGTTTGCATTACATTTGAACACTTGAACATGTTGATATAGAACGTATTCAGGCTGGATGCAACGCGGTGTAATACATTGAGGCTCATTTGAACATAGTTTCGATGTTACATGCAGTTTAGAATTAATGTATTTTCTTTCTGATAGATTTTGCATCGGGAGTCATTTACTCAGAAACTGAAACTATCTTCATTTTATATGCATCAAATTAAATATGGCGTCTAGACTGACTGAAATACCTTAAAAAGCAGCTAATTTGCATTTAACATGCAGACATTTCTGTCCATAAAATCATTGATGTTACAGCAACACAGATCCGGCCCACGTCTGGTGTGTGTGTGTGTGTGTGTGTGCGTCACATGCTCAACATCTGATCAGAATATGTGCATGTTCAAGGTTTTATAGTGAATGATTCATCAGTGTTTCATCCAAATGTAAAAAAGCGACTCAAGAATAATCAATCGATCGCATGTTCTGGTTCACTCAGAAATGTCACGTTGCAGAATTAAAACGGCCAGATTCATGTTCATGACTTTAAGCAAAACAAACGGAAACACAAATAATATGCATATTAAACTAATGACGAACGAGCAAACGAGCAACATCTGGAGTGTGTGATGAACTGCCTTTGGTCAAACTCTATTTGCACAGGAGAGGAGCCATACATGTGTGTGTGTGTGTGTGTGTGAGACGCTGGGGTTGAGATGTGCGCTGCTGTTTCTCGTGGTTCACTCGTTTGACGTGATGCTTTCGGACGGCTCGTGTGTCGAGGAAGCGCAGCAGATTCGCTCTGACGTTCAGACCTCCTTCTGTTGAACACATTATCTCTCCTCGTCAAACAAAGCCAAAGAGTCTTTCCTCATTACTGGAACGAGAGCAATGCGCACCGGCTCTGATACCAACCCGAGTAAACACACGATCATCACACTGATAATCAGCACCATTTCAGTGAGACTTTTGTTGTTGAATGAATAGAGCATATATATATATATATATATATATATTGCATTTTACAGTGTAAAAAAAAACTTGAACTTTTTAAAAGCTGAGACTTCGCCAATTAAAAACATCGGACAGACAGTAAATTAAGTTTAGTTTACTAAAAGGTTTTTTTTTTCTTACAAGGCAGAACCTTAAATGTAATATTTATGTATTTATTGTTTTCACACTGAACAGATTCATGCTGATTTTAAACAATTTAAATAAATGCAGTTTGAAAATATGATTTAAGGAAAAACAAATAGTTACTAAACTATGCCATGACTTATTTCAGTTATACACAGGAGCCGTTTCATTTATATGTTTGATTGACAAATATGAATCAATTTCAAGTTTATTAGTTTGTAAATGTTAAAACTGTAATTCAAATGGATGGAAATTTGCAATTCAAATAGGTTACATACATCATATATATATATATATATATATATATATATATATATATATACATCATTGTGAAAATGTTTTGTTTCAACTTTAAAAAATAAGTTTTAACATTAAAAATTAGGTTTTTGTGCTTCCTTAATTTTAAGTTTAGTCAACTCAAATATCTAAGTTGTAAACTTTACTTTTCAAATTGAAAAAAACGTAAACTAAAGTCACTAAACTTTAAATTTTAAGGCAGCATATAATGTATAATGTCTTAAAATGCTGTCTATAGGCCGTTCACGTGTTTTCAGAACAGTAATGATTAATTTTTTCTGCATTCTCAGAAGACGAGAACATTTTAACCTCACAATACCTAATAACGAGGCCCAGATCATGTGCGTATTAGAAAAACCTCGATAATCTGCCATGATTTCAGGAGCTTCACGCATGTGGAAAGACGGTTTGCATTAAAACTAGATGAGAGATGATTTAAAGGGAAATCTGTGGGGTGGAAACATGTTCACTGAAGCCGAGAGCGCTCAACTATTATTGCTAGCCGAAAGCATCACATTAAACCAAATATTTCATTAACAAACACAAAATGTTGAACTTTATGAGCGTTTCATTCCATTCGGTCCGAGTCAGTGAATCACATGGATCTAATGTAACGGTATATTAACGAATGAATGTACCTCACGCCTCTCGTCGTCTGTCGTCTTTATGTTTCTTTTCATGCATTGATGCTGAACTTCTGAATTAATATGATTCATGCAGTATGTATTTTATCACCCACAAATTAAGCACAGGGAAATTTTTCTATCAACTGTTTGTTTCGAAACAATACAAATTTGTGCAATACAGGAGCATATGTCAGATATGGTAATTAAAAGGCATATTTTATCTATGCTTTATATATATATATATATATATAAATATACATGTATGTAATGTAAAAATATCAGTTATCTTGAAGCAAGTGTATTTTATAATGGTAGACTTTGCTGTATTTACTTGCTGTTTTTTATTTAGATTTTTTTTTTTTTTTGTAAGAAACAATTTTCAAATTTCAATTTGCGCGAGGAGTGTGTGTTTGATGACAGCTGATCTGGGATCAGGTTTCCAGAGGTTAAAGCCAGTATAGAGGACCAAACAGGTCCTGGGTCAGTTTTTGGAGACCTGCTTTCCCGACACATTTATCCTCAGAGTCGGAGGATGAGACGGCATCTGAACATTCGACCCCTCCAGACATTTTGTGCCTGTTTATTTATTGATGACTTGTTTTGTACACTGTTAGGACTTGCATGCCGCAGTATGGGACTTTTCTCCGATTTTATGGAATCTCCCGTTTGTTTGGAAGCGACATACGGAGTAAATGGGAAACTGTAGTTCTCGTCACGAGGACGTGTTGATGGAAAGACGAGGAAAGGGATCAGCGTTGTTGCCAATTAGAACACCATGTATATCAATAGTCAAATAAACAATAGGATTCATTCTGTGTGTGTGTGTGTGTGTGTGTGAGAGAGATTTTGAGTCAATCAATTACAGAGGATCCAAAAAACACGCAGTGCTATTTTAGTTTTATTTTTTTCATTAATTTTTTTTTTGTTTTCATGTAATTGCTTTTTTATTTTTAATATTGCAGTTCAGGTTTAATTTATCTTGTTTTTAATTTTTAGTTCTAGTTTTTAATATTTTTTCATGTACATTTTTTGCTTTTATCATTTTATTCGTTTTTTAAAAATATTTCAATTTTATTTTTTTGAAAAAAAAAAGTTTTACTTGAGAGTTATTTTTTAAATACATACAGTATATAACAGTGAAAAAAATGGCACATTAAACATTTAATTAAAAAATCGGCAGTTACAGAAGAAGTAATAAATTACAAAAAGACACCCAAATAAATAAAAAGACACAAAATAAATAAAAGCTCAAACTAAAGAGATGGAGACTGAAGTGAAGTGCACTTTAAGTCATTATTTTCGAAGATGCTTTTATCCAAAACAGCTTTCAGATCAGTCCCTCTGGAACAAACACATTAAACCATCAAATACTTTGACAAGTACTTTTCTTTTGTGAGTCAAGTCACCAAAACTTTGATTTAAAAACATCGGACAGACAGTAAATTAAGTTTAGTTTACTAAAATGTTTTTTTCTTACAAGGCAGAACCTTAAATGTAAGATTTATGTATTTATTGTTTTCACACTGAACAGATTCATGCTGATTTTAAACAATTTGAATAAATGCAGTTTAAAAAATATGATTTAAAAAAAATAAATAGTTAATAAACTGATTTATTTCAGTTATACACAGGAGCCGTTTCATTTATGTTTGATTGACAAATATGAATCACATTTGCGTTTATTAGTTTGTAAATGTTAAAACTAATTCAAATGGATGGAAATTTGCAATTCAAATAGGCTACATACATCATATATATATATATATATATATATATATATATATATATATATATATAATTTTCTGAGGTTTTTTAACATTAATATGAGTTCCCCTAGACTGTATTTGATCCCCTCGTTTCTAGAATTTTCAATCGGTGTAAACCGAGCTTTGGCCATTTTTCTTTTCTCTGCATCTCAGACACACTGATCTTGAATCTCCCCTATATAACGTCATACAGGGGAAAGGTTACTCCCCTTTCTCTCCTTTGCCCGCCCGGAGAATTTGGCCCGACCATGAGAAAACGAGCTAGGAACAGGACGTACAAACACACAGGTGCGATTTTAGTGTTTCCTAGAAAAATAGCTTTAAGATTTGAGTGTTTCCTCGAGAGATATCATGGCTTGCAAACGAGCGAAGCATTGCAGTTGCTCAGTGTTCGGATGTACAAATGAACGCGAAAGTATTTTTTAGTTCCTTCATCCTAGCCTCTGGAGAAACAATGGGTTGATTTTATTTTCTCTAGCTAGTCCAGGGCCGAAAAAAAGGTCCATTCCGTACTTGGGCCGTAGGCAAACGGACGCGGGTTGGCGGACGAGCGCGCCAGCCCCCCGAAATTTTTGGGGGACCGGCCGACGGGACCACCATAACCATAAGCATTTATCCCATTATAAAAATAGTGGGTTCGCGGACGGTGGAATTTCGGGACGGCCCTACGTGGGATCTCAATATCTCAGCTCAGGAAGGGTCTAGAGACTCCATTTTTGCACTCAGGTCTAAGTCTCATGGCCCTCTATCAGAATCCAGAGTTTTGACAAGATTGGAGAAACTCAAAATTTCGCCCCCCGAAAAAAAACGACAGTGTTACCCCTTTTGTTTTTTTTCGGGGGGCGAAATTTTGAGTTTCTCTGATCTTCTTGAAACTCTGGATTCTGATAGAGGGCCATGAGACTTAGACCTGAGTGCAAAAATTGAGTCTCTAGACCCTTCCTGAGCTGAGATAATGAGATCCCACGTAGCATTTATCCCATTATAAAAATAGTGGGTTGCTGGACGGTGGAATTTCGGGACGGCCCTACGGGGGATCTCAATATCTCAGCTCAGGAAGGGTCCAGAGCCTCCATTTTTGCACTCAGGTCAAAGTCTCGTGGCCCTCTATCAGAATCCAGAGTTTTGAGAAGATTGAAGAAACTTAATTTTTCGCCTGAAAATGAAAAAAAAAAGAAAGGGGTAACACTGTCGTTTTTTTTTCGGGTCGAAATTTTGAATTTTGATATCTCAGCTCTGGAAGGGTCTAGAGCCTCCATTTTTGCACTCAGGTCAAAGTTTCTTGGCCCTCTATCAGAATCCAGAGTTTTGAGAAGATTGGAGAAACTTAATTTTTCGCCCAAAAATGAAAAAAAACGAAAGGGGTAACACTGTCGTTTTTTTTTCGAGTCGAAATTTTGAAATTTGATATCTCAGCTCTGGAAGGGTCTAGATCCTCAATTTTTGCACTCAGGTCAAAGTCTCACAGCCCTCTATAATAATCCAGAGTTTTGAGAAGATTGGAGAAACTTAATTTTTCGCCCGAAAACGAAAAAAAACGAAAGGGGTAACACTGTCGTTTTTTTTTTCGGGTCGAAATTTTGAATTTTGATATCTCAGCTCTGGATGGGTCTAGAGCCTCCATGTTTGCACTCAGGTCAAAGTTTCGTGGCCCTCTATCAGAATCCAGAGTTTTGAGAAGATTGGAGAAACTTAATTTTTCGCCCGAAAACGAAAAAAAAACGAAAGGGGTAACACTGTCATTTTTTTTTCGAGTCGAAATTTTGAATTTTGATATCTAAGCTCTGGAAGGGTCTAGAGCCTCCATTTTTGCACTCAGGTCAAAGTCTCGTGGCCCTCTATCAGAATCCAGAGTTTTGAGAAGATTGAAGAAACTTAATTTTTCGCCCGAAAATGAAAAAAACGAAAGGGGTAACACTGTCGTTTTTTTTTCGGGTCGAAATTTTGAATTTTGATATCTCAGCTCTGGAGGGGTCTAGAGCCTCCATTTTTGCACTCAGGTCAAAGTCTCACAGCCCTCTATCATAATCCAGAGTTTTGAGAAGATTGGAGAAACTTAATTTTTCGCCCAAAAATGAAAAAAAACGTAAGGGGTAACACTGTCGGTTTTTTTTCGGGTCGAAATTTTGAATTTTGATATCTCAGCTCTGGAAGGGTCTAGAGCCTCCATTTTTGCACTCAGGTCAAAGTCTCACAGCCCTCTATCATAATCCAGAGTTTTGAGAAGATTGGAGAAACTTAATTTTTCGCCCAAAAATGAAAAAAAACGTAAGGGGTAACACTGTCGTTTTTTTTTCGGGTCGAAATTTTGAATTTTGATATCTCAGCTCTGGAAGGGTCTAGAGCCTCCATTTTTGCACTCAGGTCAAAGTCTCACAGCCCTCTATCATAATCCAGAGTTTTGAGAAGATTGGAGAAACGTAATTTTTCGCCCGAAAAGGAAAAAAAACGAAAGGGGTAACACTGTCGTTTTTTTTTTCGGGTCGAAATTTTG